AAGTACAGACTGCGGGTGAGGGAGAAAGACGAGAGGCTGTAATCGAAACTAACGAGAACAGAACTAGGGGCCGCTGGTTTTTCACTGGTTATATGCCATTTTTTTTAGTCCCTAAACTTTTAATTTTAAATATTTTTAGTCTCTAAATTATTTTTTACACTTTTTATCCTTAATTATAAAAATACAAAATTTTTATTCTTCTTAGTTAGCCTGTTAACTTTGTCTAGATATATATATACTCCAGGGGCTAAAAATATGCATCTATGGATAGAATTAATGGATTAATTGAAGAAAAGATTAAAAAATTATATTTTTTGAAATTCAAAATAAAAAAGTGCAAAAAAATAGTTTAGGGCTAAAGATGTTTAAAATTAAAAGTTTAGGGATTAAAAATGGTATTTAAGCTTTTTATTGGACGCTTTTCAGTACAGAGGCCCAATTTTCGCCACGTCATCAATCCTTTCATTATGTGAGCCATAGTTATGGGGTCCAGTACCCAAGCCCATTTTCGTGGTTCAAATTACCTGGACCTCAGCCCATTCGATTCTTTTTAATTTTTATAATCAGCCCAACCAGGTCAATTTTGCACCAATGTGGGCCATAGAATTGAGCCCAGTATCCAAGCCCAAGTTCTGGTTACTTAACCCAAACCGGATCGGCTAATTGGGTCTTCTTCCCGGGGAGACCGAAAATCCAATGAACGCCCTTTTTCCCGCCACCTGGGTTCCTTGTTCCTTAAAACCCAAGGAGCTGTTGCCCCTATTGGAGAGAAAACGACCCAATAGCATCTTCAACTGTTCTTCCAATGTTGCAACAAAACACCCACAACTGAAAACAGAATCTTGTTCTGTTTCAGGGATTTCAACGGCTGAAGAGACCCTTCTTTTACATGAGGACTGGCCTCAGCTCCTCAAACTTTCTATTGAGTCTGAGGACTTCTTGTTGGGTCAGGCAATTCATGCCTTTTTAGTCAAGTTTGGTTCGGGAAATGATGTGTTTCAGGGCAATAATCTTGTTAATTTTTATGCAAAGTTTGAGAGATTGGATTATGCGCATAATGTGTTTGATGAAATGCTCGTTAGAAACACAATCACTTGGACTACGCTAATAAAAGGGTATCTGGAGAATGAGGATTTTGAAACTGCGTTTGGGATTGCTCGTGATATGTCTTGTTGTGGAGAGAAGTTTAATGAGCATACTTGTTCTGTGCTTTTGCGGGCATGTAACTCACCTGATGACCGGATTTGTGGGGAACAAATCCATGGTTTTGTTGTAAAGAGTGGGCTTGAGGAGAATGTCTTTGTGGGTACTACATTAATATCTATGTATTGGAGAAGTGGCTACTTAAACGAAGCAGAGAAAGTTTTTGATGGCATTGGCTCCAAGGATCTTCAGTGCTTAAATTATATGATTTTGGAATATGGGAATGCTGGATGTGGAAGGAAAGCTTTTCAGGTATTTATTCATATGTTAAGTTCTGGTTTGGAGCCAAATGAATATACATTTACCAATGTAATTAAGGCATGTTGTGAAGATTTAGATCTTGAGGAAGGTAGGCAGCTGCAGGGGCTTGCTGTCAAGTATGGTTTTATGAGTGTAACCTCTGTCAGAAATGCTTTAATTACCATGTATGGGAGACATGGAATGGTTGAAGAGGCTGAGATAATATTTCATTTGATGGGTGATAGGAATTTGATCACTTGGACTGCACTGATATCAGGCTATGTGAGGAGTGGTGATGGTTATAAAGCAGCTAATAAGTTCTTAGAGTTTATTGACCTGGGAATTGACTGTGATTCTAGTTGTTTAGCAACTGTACTTGATGGCTGCTCAGAATGCAAGAACTTGGATTTTGGACTTCAAATCCATGGCTGTGTAGTAAAGCTTGGGTATCTATGGGATATCCATATTGGAACAGCATTAGTAGATCTATATGCGAAATGTGGGAACTTAAAATCTGCTATGATAGTTTTTAATAGCCTCTCAAATAAAACAGTTGCTTTATTCAATGCAATTCTGGTTGGCTTTATGGAAACAAATCAAGATAATGAAGAAGATGCCATGCTTTTATTTAGTAGGCTGAGATTGGCTGATATGAAGCCAGATTTAGTAACTTTTTCTCGTCTCATTAGTTTTTCTGCCAAGCAAGCTTGTTTGGCTAAGGGGAAAAGTCTTCATGCATACACCATTAAAGCTGGATTTGAAACAGATATGACTGTGAGTAATGCATTGATTACAATGTATGCTAAATGTGCCAACTTCGAAGGTGCTTTTCAAATGTTTAATTCTATGAACTGCCATGATTCTGTTTCTTGGAATTCCATCCTTTCCACATGTGCTGTTCACGGTCATGGTGAAAGGGCACTCCTGCTCTTTGATATGATGAAAGGGGAAGGTTTTGCTCCTGATGAGATTACTATACTGGCCATCCTTCAAGCCTGCAGTTACTCCGGGTTATGGGAAGATGGATTATGCATATTCAGTGAAATGGTGTCAAAGTATGGGATTAATCCTGTAATGGTGCACTTTGCTTCAGTTGTTGATCTTTTGGGTAGGGCTGGTTGTTTGTCTGAAGCCTTGGATTTTATTAACAAATGCCCTTTCTCAGATTCACCTCTGCTTTGGAGGACTTTGGTCAGCAGCTGTAAGTTACATGGGGATCTGGACATTGGAAAATTAGCTTCAAAAAATTTGCTTGACTTGGCACCTGAAGAAGCTGAATCTTACATCCTTGTTACAAACATGTATGCTGGATCTGGTTTTCTGGATGAGGCAGCAAAGGTGAGGACAGCTATGAATGAGTTAAAGTTGAGTAAAGAAGTAGGTTGTAGCTGGATTGAGATTGATAATGAGGTTCATCATTTTGTGGCGAGTGACAGGGACCATGCAGAAAGTAGAGAAATTTGTGCAACATTGGATCTCTTAAGAGATGAAATGAAATGGGAAAATTCCAATACAATTGATCTTCTTGTTGAAACTTGAAACTGTATAGGTAGATGGAGAAACAGAATTACCAATGTTTTAAACTTTAATTTTCTACGGAACATGCTTCCAGGCATGTTTATATTAAAATCTCCATGCTTAAGTGGAGGGTGGCTGTTGCCCATTGGGATGTCTCTATTGGGTTATAGTGTTACTGGATTACGATACTTTAAGATTTAGAAAGGTGCAGATATTCTGGAGCCATGGGAAATGACCACATCTCAGCAGGGTTAAGGCAAAAGGTGGATTCAGCCAAGTTGTAGAAGACAAGAGGTGGATTGCCAGTCCTGGAACCTCCTTACCGTAAGTTTTCTTATATTTTACCTGAATAAAATAAGGATCCTACTAGACATTTTAGGTTTGGCCATTGAGGAAACATAATATTTTCATATTGTAATTTAGACTGTTAGTAAGTACTGAGATATGAGATGATAGGAGAAAGCAATCCGTAAGTAGTCTTCTGTTACAATGGATAAAGTTTAACATCTCACTCAGGATTGGTGATATTTGACTGACCACAGTGAGAGCAACATGATCATCCCAACTCTGGTACAAAAACCATATATATAATATTATAATTTTAATCTTGCTGTGCCATACTGATTCTTTTGGTGGGAATCTAGTCAGGGTGTGATAATTCTATAATGGAATTATGCTTACGCTAGCAGTATAAAGGAAGGGAATAACCCTAGGATTGGATTTACTGGTATGCAAATGTCGTCTTATAGGCTAGATCTAGGGCTTGGGGTCAGCATCTAAGGAAATTAATTTCCATAAATACACCAGGCCAATATTGGATGTGTGCCCTTAAGATTGCCTAGGAGAGGGACTACTCAATAAAATTTTCATTGTCAACAAAAAAAATTTAGGGATCAGATAAGGATAAAAAGTAGTTTCATGATGTTATGCTTAACTACACTAATAGAAATAAATCAGATAGCAAGTCACATTTCATCATTACACGTATGTTGTCAACATGTATGCTGAACCCCTACAAATCAGGGGTTCTGCTTATTCATGCCCTAATCATAAATGTGGTAGTTCAAATCTGACCTATTTGGGGTCCCAGATGATGGATGATTAGTTTCAAATGATACAAAAAAAATTACTCTATTAGTTTTACAGGAAATTCTGAGTGCACATCAGGGTCAGTTCAGGATTTTCCTGTATCTCCACTCAACAGCCAGCCCTTTCCACTACAAGTTCTGAGACATGGCATCGCAAATTACGGTTAGCAAATGCTTAATATATAGGTATTACTATTTTAAACTTTAGTAGGTTCATCTTTAATTATTTTCCTAGGCACCAAAAGACAAGGGAAAATCCATAGTGCTGTTTTGCAGGAAAAATGATTGCATTCTTTGTAAAGGTCCATTGCTCATTGCCTGTGTGTATACCTAATCGCACTAGAATTTTAACATTTTATTTGGCTTTCAGTGATTAGCTTGGACTCCAAAAACCTAATCTGATAGTGTATCTAGATTGCTGACTAATGGCATCAAAATATGCTGGTGTCACACCAAGCATTAAGTGGTAATGCCATCTTCTACAAGGTAAAGGGACTGATGTAAGTACCCGAGGCACATCAAACATTATTATTGATAGGTTATTCTTTTGGGTTGAAGTCTAATGCGTAACTTTAGGAATTAGCAGTCGCTATTGTTTTTGTTTGTTTATACTTAATGATATTAGCACGAACAGAGCAATTGCATTTCATCCACAGTTGATGCACCAAACAGGATATACTTAATTATATGCTTCATAGATAATTGTTTTTAACTGTACAATACAAAGGAGGTTGTTTCACCAGAAAATCACCAACAATCCCTCATCAAATATCAAATTCCCAACACATAATTCAACCCACTCAAACAAAAAACTTTCCATATGGTTCATAAGATGAAGCAAAAACGCAGTATATGGGGGAAATTGCAATTGTAATTTACTAATTAAAACTCAAAAGAAGGAACGTTTAACTGGAGCTCTTCCAACAGCTCTCATCAAATTGGCCAATTCAAGAACTCTGGCCACTTTGGTTCCTCTCTTTGCCTCTGCTGATGCCCTTCTCTCCTCTGATTTTCTGTGTGCTTTTGCCACATCATTCTGCATCTTCTCTAGAGCTCTTGCTCTTTTCTCCTCTAGCTTCCTCTATACAAAACAAAACCAAATTGAAATTTGAAAAGAATGGTTTCAATCACCCTTTTAGTTTTTCAACGTGGGATGGATATCCCATTAGCTCAACATGTCTTTTAATCACTGAACCAATACCACTAAGCAAACATGTGGTAAAAATTGGACCGTAGACCAAGACTACTTGTTTTCTCGGATATAATCATGGACTCATAGAATCACCAGTATTCTAAGTAATTCCTATTATATTAGTGCTAATCACTATCATGATTATGCTGCGATAATGATTAATCTTTTGCATGAAACATAACAAACTAATTAACTTAAAACTCTAAACATCAAAGAGAAAAAACATGTACAAAACGTAGATTTTTTTAGTCTTAGCCTACGTACCTCAACTTTTTTCATCCAAGAAGTGGCCTTTTGCACTTGTTCACTTTCCCACCCATTAATGATTGCATCTTCTCTCTTAAACCTGTTATTAATCTTTGCAACTTTTGCGTTTTGCCATGCAGAAATCTTGGATTCCACCTCCTCTTTCTTCACCCTCAAAACAGAGACTTCACCCTGACTACCACTGCCGACAGAGGTCCCTGGCTCTGGCCGCCTCTGTTCCGGATGCTGGTCCAAAGGGGAATTATCAGGAACTATAGCCAACGGATTGGTTTCTTCAGGAACATCATCTTCTCCAATCCTAGACAACTGATTTTGCGTGTTAAGCATGGTGGCAATAGAATCATTATCGATGTTGTTCTCGATGGAGGATCCTGCTAGAACTAGAGCGTTGAACTCTCTACTCATGGAAGTGAAGTTTTCACCGGAACCTGCATCACTGTACATGGACATGGAGGAGGATCTATGGCTGCCAGTTTCCCAACGGCCTCTGTTTGCAGGTGGAGGGTGGGGTGGGGTTAGAGCATGGATATCTCTCACTTGTTCTTCTTCGTTGTTGTCATGACTCTGGCTACTTTCACCATTGGTGAGATGACTTTGGAGCGTTAACATAGGGAAATTGCAGGTGGAGGAGATGAGGGAGATGAAGAGGAGCGGCGATGGAGGGGAAAGTGTGGAAGGATCTTAGCATAGTCTTTAAAAGAGGTGGCTTGAATGATATGAAGAAATATGAACCACAAACATAGGAGGAAAGGAAAGGATTGTTCAATGAATGAAATGTCACAACAGTGAAGTAAATATGCCTTGGAGGCTGGGGAGCTTTTGAATTTTATTTCTTAAAGTTATTCTTAATAAATTAGTACAAACCCCTTAATGTTTATTCATTTTTCAAATATAACCCCTTTTTTTTATCTTAGATTATATAATAGAATATAATCTTTTTTATTATTTATCTTACTCTATTTATATATTATACAACTTTGAACTCAAAATTTTTTATTTTTATAAAAAAAATAATTATCACTAAATTATTTAATTCATTAACCAAACATAACCCTTTAAAATATGTTGCAATAATAAGCTATGACTTCTTTAGAAGTTCTCACTTTAGAATGTTTGAGAACTTACAAGAAGATCAATTTTCACTTGCGGATAGCTAATAGCTTGCCAATTTATTAATTAAAGGTGTATACCTTAAACTCTGTTTAATATCATTGTTCTTTTTGGTTTTTGGTTTTCATATAGGTACTTTAAGCCTTGCTTAGTATTTCGTAAATTTTTTAATATATTGAAATGTGAATTTTTTTTATTTGAATCAAAAATTGTTTTTTTTTTTTTCACTTTGAACTAACAAGATGTTAATATAGACAACTACAAATGTTAGCACTAACAAAACCTTTGTTTTGTATAAAAATTAGTAAAAGAAAGTGAAGGAAAGGGAGGGGAAGGGAAGAAAGAGAAAGGAAGGAGAATAAAGAATTAATATTAATTTTGTTGGGATAAATTAAAAAAGGAGGAGGAGAGGGAGAGAAAGGTTATATTTTTTTTTAATTAAATAAATTAAAGAAAAATAATTATTAAATTAATTAAAATTTTATAAATTTATATATTAAAATTGAAGTTGCAATGGAAATTTTAATTATATTTTTTTAAAAAGTAAAAAAAATAAAATAGAAATAAAACAAATCCCTCTTAACTCTCTTCAAATTGAAAGAATTAAAAATAATGGATTTGGAGGGAGTTTGAC